CCAACATACAGAGTTCGGTAATTATTAATTTAATTGGATTTTTAGAGCCCGATAAATATAGATAAATTTAATTAACCATCAATTTAATATTAAATTAAATATCTCCTAAATCGAGACTAACTAACCTGAGGGACTCGGGGCGTTACAGACTTCCCTCCTTCAAAAACTTTCGTCCCCGAAAGTTGAATGTTCCAACAGTTCAGGGTATCTCGCCTTGATGTCGTCCTCCCGCTCCCAAGTAGCTTCTTCCACTTAGTGGTTTCTCCACAAAACCTTAACCAAACGAATCATCCGGTTCCTCAACAACTTGGTTTCTCTTGCCAAAATCTGGACGGGTAGCTCCTCATAGCACAAGGACTCATCTAGTTTCAATGGTTCAGGGTCCAAAACGTGCGAAGGGTCATGAATGTACTTCCTCAGCATAGACACGTGAAACACATTGTGAACCGCTGCCAACGATGGTGGCAGGGCCAACCTATACGAGACTGGGCCGATACGTTCCAAAATTTCAAAAGGCCCAATAAACCTTGCACTGAGCTTGCCCTTCTTTCCAAATCGTAAAATCCCCTTTACGGGTGCCACACGAAGAAACACCCGCTCACCTACCACAAACTCGAGCTCCCTACGCCTGACGTCTGTATAACTCTTTTGACGGCTCTGTGCAACTTGCATCCTTCCCCTGATCTTTTGAATGGCGCCGTTAGTCACCTGCACCAAATCCGGTCCCAAGAGAACTCTTTCTCCGACTTCGTCCCAATTAACCGGAGACCGGCACTCCTTCCCATACAGTGCCTCGTATGGGGCCATCCCAATTGTGGCCTGAAAACTGTTATTATAAGCGAACTCTATTAGGTAGAGGTACTTGTCCCAACTACCACCAAAGTCTAACATGCAAGCTCTGAGCATGTCCTCTAAAATCTAGTTCACACGCTCCGTCTGACCATCGGTTTGGGGGTGAAACGCCGTGCTAAAGTCGAACTTAGTGCCCAGGGACTTGTGTAAACTCCGCCAAAAAGTCGAGGTGAAACGCGGGTCGCGATCGGACCCTATGGATACCGGTATGCCATGTAGCCTGACAATTTCCTGTAAATACAGTTCCGCCCATTTTTCTACTGTATACGTGGCCTTGCCGGGAATAAAGTGAGCAGACTTGGTTAAACGATCTACAACTACCCAAATCACAGTGAATCCCTTAACCGTCCTTGGTAGTCCTGTAATGAAGTCCATAGCCACATCGTCCCACTTCCAAACTGGTATGCTCAAAGGTTGCAGCAATCCAGCAGGTCTCTGTCTTGAGGCCTTTACCTGTTGGCACGTCAAGCACTTGCTAACAAACTAAGCTATTTCCCTCTTCATGTTATGCCACCAGTAATGTTTCTTAAGGTCTTGGTACATTTTGGTACTTCCTGGATGGACCGAGTATGGAGCATTATGTGCCTCTCCCAGTAAGTCCTTCCTCAAGGAATAATCTTTTGGCACACACAACCTTCCGCGAAAAAGCAAAGCTGCCTAATCCGAAAGAGCGAAGTCTCCATGGCCCACCATACTAAAGCCTTTGGCCAAGCCAGGGTCTCCCTTTTGGGCAACAATGATCCTCTGTCTCAGGTTAGGTTCCACTAAGAGTCGAGCCAACAACGCGGAGACATCATCCACCGTCAACTCCACCTCCAAGCGTTCCAACTCGCTATGTATTGGACTGCAGACCGCTACAAGAGATGCCACACTCGCCGCCCTCCTACTAAGAGCATCGGCCACCACCTTTGCTTTACCTGGATGGTAACTAATCTCACAATCATAATCCTTCACCAACTCTAGCCACCGTCTCTGTCTCAAGTTAAGCTCCTTCTGAGTGAAAAGGTACTTCAAACTCTGATGATCCGTGAAGACCTAAATTCTTTCTCCGTAAAGGTAGTGCCTCCACAACTTTAAGGCGAAGACAACTGCTGCTAGTTCTAAGTCATGAGTGGGGTAGTTAAGCTCATGCACCTTCAGTTGTCGAGAGGCATATGCTATAACTTTCCCATGTTGCATCAGCACACATCCCAAGCCCTTTCGCGAGGCGTCGCTATAAACCACCAAGCCTCCCGTCCCATCTGGGACAGTTAACACTGGTGCAGACACCAAACGCCTCTTTAATTCTTGAAAAGTCTCCTCACACTCGCTACTCCAAGTGAAGGTAGCATTCTTACGAGTCAACTGCATCAACGGTGCCGCTATCCGAGAGAAATTCTGGATGAACTTCCTGTAGTAGCCAGCCAAGCCGAGGAAACTACGAATCTCTGTAACTAAACTAGGTCTTGGCCAATTGCTAATTGCCTCTACCTTGGCGGGGTCTACTGCAATACCTTCCCTGGTGACTATGTGACCTAGGAAAGCCACTTTGTCCAGCCAGAACTCACACTTTGAAAACTTTTCATACAACTGGTTCTCTCGTAGTGTAGTCAAAACCTGTCTGAGATGCTCCTCGTGACACTGCTCAATCTTGGAGTATATCAGGATGTCATCGATAAATACAATGACGAATGAGTCTAAATAATCCTTAAAGACCCGATTCATTAGCTCCATAAAGGCTGCCGGAGCATTTGTGAGTCCAAATGACATCACGATAAACTCATAGTGCCCATACCTGGTTCTGAACGTTGTCTTTGGAATGTCGGCCTCCTCTATCCTTAATTGGTGGTACCCCGAATGCAAGTCTATCTTCGAGAACACTTTCGCCCCTTGAAGCTGATCAAAAAGGTCATCAATGCGTGGTAGGGGATACTTATTCTTAACCGTAACTTTGTTTAGTTGCCTGTAATCTATACAAAGTCGCATAGAACCGTCTTTCTTCTTAACAAAGAGCACGGGCGCACCCCAAGGGGACACGCTTGGTTGGATGAAACCCTTGTCAAGTAATTCTTCCAACTGTAGCTTCAACTCTTTCAACTCTGCCGGAGCCATTCGATAAGGTGCTTCCGAGATGGGAGCTGTCCCTGGCAGCAACTCTATACAAAAGTCCACTTCGCGAGACGAAGGCAAACCAGGGAGGTCCTCAGGGAACACGTCAGTGAACTCATTAACCACACGAACCGCCTCAATGCTTGGCACAACCTTCCTTGCATCCACGACGCTGACCAAATAGGCCCAGGCACCACGTTGGAAGAGATGGCTGGCCTTCAATACCGACACCACCCTTGGGACCCCGGCCTTAACTCCTTTAAAGATAAAGTTTTGTCCGGAGGGCAAGCGAAAGCTAACTTCCTTCTTCGAGCAATCAATATTAGCCCGGTTGGCAGCTAACCAATCCATGCCTAGTATCACATCGAAATCCTGCATATCCAGTTGGATTAATTTTACATCCAAGGCCTGACCATCAAAGGAGAGTTGGCCTCCTTTCACCACTTGACTAGTGCCCAACACAGACCCTGACGATGTGGATACCGACGACAAAAAGCCTAACGATTCTAGCTCTAGGTCCGCATGTCGAACAAAGGTAGAAGCAATGAAAGAATGACTAGATCCAGAGTCAAATAATGCGTACGCAGGCATACTAAGCACTAAAACAGTCCCTACAAAAGTAACACGCATGCAATAAAACACAAGCATATACACACAGCTCAAGACTCGCAAAGAGAAGGTACCTGTGACCACCGCCTCGGCATGCTCAACATCCCCCCTGGTAAGAGCGAAGATACGCGCCCTATGGGTCCCACCTTGAGTTGCCGCCGTCGCAGGGATCCTCTGGCCTAAAGCTTGGGTATTCAAG